TTGTGTCTGTATTGATAACAACTCCTTTCCTTAAAAAACTAAAAAAAAAAAAAAAACAGTACTTTTCAAAATGTTTTTTGGGAAAAGATCATGTCTTCACTTCCCACGGCCAGCCACAAATCATCAAACAATAAAGAAAGGAAGCCTGTTTTCAAGGATCAGGCCTGTGACAAAATCTAGTCTGAATCTACCATCACTGGTCAAGTCTCAGAAGCTAAAACGCTGTGATAAAATGGATGAGATAAATGAAGTATTCCTAAAGCTCTCTATGCTTCACAACAATTTGCCTGATCCACTGAGAGATATATTGGTTCAATGTGCATGTGAAGATCAACGAAAGTGTAAGTTGTTATCACATATATATATCTATTTTAGAGAATATCTCTACATGAAAATATGGTTGCTGATATTTTTACAGATTGCAATTTCTCAATTTTAATGAAACTGACCACATGTGAAAATACTTGCTTCTTGGGATAAGGAACAGGTGAAGTAGAAAATCTAGCAGGTACAAAGTTTTTTTTGTAAATTTTATGTAACAGAATCTAAAACCTGCTCCGTTTAAACCTGGAGAACTCTGTTGTGCAACAGCAGTGAAAACATCACAAAACACAAAGTTAAACTGAAGATAAGTATGCTGCACACAACCAGTCAAATGGATCCAAATTCTCCTTAAAATAAAACTGCTTTGTTTCCAAAATATCTGCAAAGTGGTACCTTTATATATTGGAAGGGTAGGATGGAAATGTAATTCAAAGTAGTGGAAACTACCATAGGGGCACTGGTCTCTCCCACATATTCCCATGTGTCTTGAATGTGAAGCAATGGAAAGAATTTCAAAAGGATAATATCTCCAGATAACTAGACGAGTGGTTTCAGCTCTGGTGTAAGTTTTAGTAGAGGCACAATTCTACATTGGCACCTCCAGAAATATGTATAATCCTTGTGTGTTGAAGTTTCAGAAGCAATTCAAAATTCTGCTCTAAGAAACTTTGGACCTCACTTGACTGGTTGTGAGATGTTTATTTTGAGGTAACGTTTGCCTTTTGTTGATGTTGGTTATGATGAGACTTGCAACTTAGCTTCTGGATCATCTCCAAAAGCAGCATCATGCAAAGTACATTGTAGTAGTTCAATTGGGCAATCATAGAGGTGTGAGATAATGAACTATGAAGATTGGTACTATTGCATTAATTTGGGGATAAGGCAGATGCAGTTGTTCATATGGAGTTCATATGTAATTGGCTTAAAGCAAAACACTATTTCAAAATTGCATCATTGTTTTTATTTGGCTAACCTGGATTCTGAGATAGTGACTGCATTCAGTTTATTTGGCCTGTCTGAACTCCTAATTTCTTAATAACTGCAGTCTAAAAAGTTGTATGTACTTTAAAAAAGTTAATGTGCTGAAGTCTGAAGTGGGATAAAGAAAGGATTATATTTCAATAAAATTAATCTTCTCTTGCAAGGAGAGCTTTTAATGTAAAGATTTCATAGCAGAATAAGAAAGAAAATATTTGAAATTAGATAGAAAAAGGAAATGGGAAAACCAACAGCAAAAGATATTGAGTTATTTATTTTATTGAAGAATCAAAATTGCACATTACTACAATCATCTCCTGGTTTTGAATATTATTTAAACATTATTAATTTAAGTTTAAGTGCAGGTTAAAACATGGGTCTGTTTCTCATTTTTAGTGTATAATAAAAAGCTATCATACAATTAAATGTAAGGGCACATCCCTCCCTCCCTTCCTTTCTGCCCCATACTCTGAGCAGTCAATACCATATCAGTCAATTAAACATTCAGTACAATAAAAATCCTGTTTCTTTTAAAGAATCAAAACACCTATTTTCAGTTTGAGCCAAAGGCACAATGGCACAATTTTTTAAAAAAATCAACTTATATTCAAAAGACTAGAAATGTAGAGGTGCTGTATTTCTAGATAGTGATGATTCCATAAATTGGAAAGCTACTGTTGGGATGACTTGCCTTCTTGCTCACACCTGATGTGCCTCTGAAGTAGAGGGATTGTCAACAAGCAATGAATGAATTCTGCGCCTGATGTAACTGGAATTGTGCTCTGTAAGACTTAAAAAGGATGACTAATACTTTGAATTGAACCTGGAAGCTGACTGGTAAGCAACACAGCAATTTCAGAATAGAAGTTATCCTGTGCTGGTGGGGTTGATCTGCCAGCATTTTAGCCAGCTAAACTTCCTGGATTGTGTCAGTGGTAGCTTTCGGATTGTCTCCAAGAGGAGTCCCATGTAGAACATGTTTATTTAATTTTATTTGTTTATTTATTTGATTTGTCAATCGCTTACAAGATAATAAGTATAAGTATAAACATGAGTAAGAATACAAGAAATAGGTACGAATAAATGGGGACAATAAGACAGGGATGGTAGGCACGATGGTGCACTTATGCACGCCCCTTTCAGACCTCTTAGGAATGAGGTGAGGTCAACAGTGGATAGTTTGAGGTTAAAGGAGTGGGGGTTAGAGGATGTAACAACAGAGTCAGGTAGTGCATTCCAGGCATTGACCACTCTGTTGCTGAAGTCGTACTTTTTGCAATCGAGTTTGAAGCAGTTTACATTGAGTTTGTATCTGCTGTGTGCTCTTGTATTGTTGTGGTTGAAGCTGAAGTAGTCATTGACTGGTAGGACATTGTAGCAGATAATTTTGTGTGCTGCACTTAAGTCTAACCGTAGGTGGCATAGTTCAAGGTTGTCCAAGCCCAAAATCTCAAGCCTGGTGATATAGGGTATTCTGTTGCGAGCAGAGGAGTCTAGTACTCTTCTTGTGAAATACTTCTGGACTCGTTCAATTGTATTAATGTCCGATATGCAGTGCGGATTCCAGACTGATGAGCTGTATTTGAGTATTGGTCTGGCAAAAGTTTTGTATGCTCTAGTTAGCAATTCGATATTTCTTGAGAAGCTTCGTAAGATTAGATTTACAACTCTTAATGCCTTTTTGGCAATGCTGTTACAGTGAGCTCTGGCGCTTAGGTCATTTGATATGGGAACTCCAAGGTCCTTGACAGAATGAGGATCATCAACAAGGTCATATCCACCAAGTTTGTATTTGGTATACTGATTTTTTTTTACCAATGTGTAGGACAAAGCAATTGTTGGTCGAGATTTGGAGTTGCCAATGTTTGACGATTCAGACACATAATCAAGGTCGCTTTGAAGGATACTAGCATTGTCAGTGGTGTTGAAGTTTTATGTCATCCGCAAAGAGGACACAGTTGCTTATAAGGTGATCACAAAAGTAATTTATATAGAGTATAAAGAGAATCCTAGAATGAAGTCCTAGAATAAAGAGGTCCTAGAATGCTGCCTTGGGGTACACCGCTGTTAACTGGAGCAGGGTTTGATATAGCACTCCCTATTTTTACTATTTGTTGCCTGTTTGACAGGAACACAGTAATCCACTTATGAAGGAATCCGGAAATGCCATAAGAGTTCAGTTTTAACAGTAGTTTGTCATGTTCCACTGAATCAAAGGATTTGCAGAAGTCTATGTAAATTGCATCTATAGCTTTACCCTGGCCAAGTAGAGTAGTCCATATATTTTTGCAGTGTAGGAATTGAAGATTGCAGGACAATTTTTTCCTGAAACCAAATTGTTTTTTGGAGAGTAGGTTGTTTGACTCTAAGTGGAGAGTGGAATTTGTTAATGGTTGATTCCATGACTTTGCACGTGACACAACACAGTGAGATTGGTCTGTAGTTTTCAACCAGGCTGGGGTCACCTTTTTTGAAGATAGGGATGATTGTAGCTAAGGTCCATAGGTTTGGTAAGGAGCTGGTTCTGAATGATATCTCATATATAATGCTTAGGGGTTCCGCTATGGCAGAGGAGAGCTTTTTTAAGAAGTACGCATATAATCCATCAGGGCCAATAGATAGGGATGGTTTTAGGTTACATAGTGCCTTTTCTATGCTATTTTCTATAAAGTCAATATGTAGTAGGTCATTACAGTTAGTTGTGGTACAATTGGAAATGTGGGGCATGAACCACTGCTGTTTACAAAGACTGAAGTGAAGAATATGTTCCCATATGCAGCCAAATGGTGACCCAGCTATTCCAGACATGACCAACAAAGGTACTGTTTCAAGGCCAGTATTAAGCAAAGGAAACCCTACCAAACACCAATACATTTTAAATTGCAGACAATTCTTCCCTTCTCTTCAGGTTATAAGGTTTCCTTCTTTGACAATTTCTCCATGAATTTGATACCTAAAGAGGCATATTGTTCACCACCACCAAATCATATGCCCCTAAGAAAAAGAAGGATTTCTAACCAGATTGCTAATCAGCCTAGACCTTTTGGAGTCTATAGACAAGATATGCCACTAGCAACTATCATTGCAAGGTAAGGTACAAATAAACAATTATTTTTTTTATCATTGCATCTCCTTCACCCCATTCAGTCTCTATTGTTCTTTTTCTCTAAGTTTTTTCTGTTGCCCCCAAATCCTTTTTTTTTTTGCTAGACAATTTCTTTTCTAATACCAAGCCATATTAGAGAAACAGCATTTACTAACCTCTACAAAATATAGTATGACAAAAGTAGAGAATATTGTGTATAGCTCAGTGTTGAACTGTTGTGTTTGTGGCATTTCTCTGAGTTTGACTGTTTTTATGCAGTCTTTCATTACCAGCTAAATACCACCACTTCATAGAAAAGTAAAGTTTGCTGATTGTTTACATGTAATAGCTTGCCCTGCCAGCCTTGGTTGGAGTGTAGTTTCTTCCTTGAAATCTCCTTGATTAGAGTACTGTTTCTACTTTCATTGTTTATCTGGGCTATTTTTTGTTTAATTCGGTGCTGGTTGTTAAGGACAATGGACTTTTTTCCCCTTGACTTTTGATTTGATCTTTTAAATGGTGCATACATGATACTTAGTTTTATACGTCTGTTGATGGTTAATTTATCAGAATGCCAAACTCCCAAGAATTCCTAGCATTTTTGGATTTGACTGCATCTAAATGTCAACAGTTTCTCAGCTGAAATTGTGACTGAATTTGTTCATTCATTCATTCCTCTATAAATGCCCATTAACATTGATGACTTTGGGCAACTCATAGTTAAAATCAAATCAACAACACAACTAATAAACAAAATACAGAAAAGCAGCAAAAACAGAATAACTCCTTGAAACCAAATGAAAAACCCAATTAGAAGCAAAATAAAAAAAAACGCCCAAAATACAAAAGCAGGCAATGCACGTTGTGGATCAATTTAGCTAACTTGAGTTGTAAAGCTGTTGCTTTTAGCTGTAATGTTTCAGATGTTGGATTCAGAGGTAGTAGTTCTAAGGCATTGAATTAAACTTTATTTTTAAAAAAAACTATGAAAAAGTGTGGAAAGAACTTAGCAATGTATGGTTTTGGCTATGGCTATGACCGTTGCTATAATTGGCTTGATGAATAAAAAGGCACTATTACTTCCAACATGGGCTGTGTACTGATTCATAGGGTCGAAGCTTCTGCTAATATACCTAAGACTGTGTCCGATGTTATTGATGACAAAATGACAAAGAAATAGGCAGAGAGACAGGGAGCCTGTAATGTGAAGGATGATGACACTGATGATATTGGATTCCTTTGAGTCTTGATGAATATTCACAGGCTGACTGTGTAATAAACATTTTGAACATGATCCAATATACTATCAACTTTTTTACTGAATAAGTGATTTTCTATGGGAGATCCATGGAAGAGCCAAGCCATGGTAATGAAGGCCATCAGAAGCTGACACTGTTTCTGCAGCAAGATCCTCGAAGTAAAGTCTGCTTATTTAATGCTTTGAAATTCAGCATGGAAAACTACAAGTAGTCCTCAACTTACAGCCATGATTGGGACTGGAACTCCCACTGCTAAGCAATGGGGTCATTATTCAAGTTATGTCCAATTTTATGTCCTTTTTGCTATAGTCCAAGGGTATCAAACTCAAGGTCCAGGGGCCAGATCTGGCCCACAGGTGCTTAGATCTGGCCTATGGGGCTGCTCTGGAAACAGCAAAGGACCGGCCCGCCGTGCCTCTGCCAGCAAAAATGGAACTCAGGAGGGCTGCCTGCTAGCAGAGGATTGCAGGAAGTTGTTGCAGCCAAAAACAGAGCTCGAGAGCCCGTTTTTGCTGACAGAGTGCTTGGGCCACTACAGGCGCCCCTGACACAAGTGACACCAAGCTGGTGACGCCCACCCTGTCCACACCCATCTTGGCCCCCGGAGGTCAAATACAATCCTGATGTGGCCCTCAATGAAACCGAGTTCGACATCCCTGCTATAGTCATTAAGCAATCTTGACTTTGCTTGTTGGAAGCTTGCTGGAAGGTTCCAAAATGGGGATCACATGACCCCAGGATGCTATGACAATTGTGCATGAATCAGTCGTTAAGTCATTTTTTTTAAGCACCTCTGTAACTGCAAGTCACCAAATGAATGGTCATTGACGACTACCTGTAATGATGAGTTGCTTGTCATAATTTTGGTTAGAAGGTGGAGAATATTGTTGTCCCCACTCCAATGCTGATATTTGGCATTATAAGATTAGCAATGGTTTCTCAGCAAAAGAGCACCACATTTAACAAGGAAACACAACCATCTTCCTACATCTGGTACAAATTTTCAGGTGTTTGATAGGTTGGTAGGCAATTGTGGAAGGAGAATCCAGGGATCCTTATCCATATTTAGCTATGCTCGTATTCCTGGAAACTTGAGTAATTGCAGTAATTTAAAATTTGTATACTGAGCCATATGTTTTGACTATTTCACCTCACTCCAGAGATCAAGAGATTGGATTACTGTATTAGCTCAATATAGAATTTAATATCTTCAGGATAGCTTGCTCTCCAATGTCTGCATTCAGGGAACATAAAAACGTGAGAATGTTACCAGTTGTAGATATATAAGATAACTACAACCACATTAACAGTTTTAAAACCATACGGACCAAACGAGTGATATAGATGTTTCAAATTCTCCCTTGAGTTTATATAGCAGTACAGTGACTGATGATATCTTGGGAAGATATGACTGTATTAACATCAAGGCCTAAATCAAGAAAGATGAACAAATGATTAACGGATAAAGCTAAAAAAATAATTTCATTTCTTTGCAGGATGAATAGGTTGGGGAATTGGTATGATGACAACAGTAGTAGGAATGTGGAATGGATGAATATTTTGGATAATAACATTACTAAGATATATACAAATACTGTATATACTCGAGTATAAGCCTAGTTTTTCAGCCCAATTTTTGTGCTGAAAAAATCCCCCTCGGCTTATACTCGAGTCAGATTCCCCTCTGAAAAAAAAATGGTGTGGAGTCGCGGCCTCCGGCGGCAGCGACTCCCAACAGCCCCAGCCGGGAAGGGAAAGGCAAAAAGCGCTTTGCCTTTCCCTTCCCGAGGCGGCGGGACTGGGGCCGCGCCGGCGGTAGTGACTCCTGACTCAGGGGGCCTCCGAGGGAGGGGAAGAGAGTGACTCCTGCCTCCCGCTGTCATCATCATCTTCTTCTTTTGGGTTAGTGAATCAATTAAACCTTTCATGATAGTGAGATCGTTTCCCAAATTAATTATTTTTATTTTTGAAATTTACCAGTAGCTGCTGCATTTCCCACCCTCGGCTTATACTCGAGTCAATAAGTTTTCCCAGTTTTTTTGTGTAAAATTAGGTGCCTCGGCTTATATTCGGGTCGACTTATACTCGAGTATATACGGTAGGTCAAAATCAAGAATATTGTCACATACCATTGTTTATTTTATCAGGCAATTTTAATAAAATATTCTTATTATATATAAATATTCATTACATATATCAATTTCCCACCCCCCAAGTAGTTAGTAAAACAGAACTGTATGTCAGAGATTTGCAATTATGCTAGATATTAAAAAAGGAAGTTGTCCAAGTCTCCCTCCTTCCCACAGAACCAGTCTGTCTTGGAATCTCAAAGTCACAGCTTTCCAAATCATTTACTGTTAAAGAAGCCACCATGAAAAAAAAAAAACCAAAACATTTTAGGGCAGGCATTTTCCTGCTCTGCAATAAAACCTAAATGCCATATGTGCAAGCCATTGTTTTTTAAAAAAACTGTATTCAATGGCATATTTATGGTCGTTAAAAACTCTACAAAATACATCAGAGTATAATGAAGTTGTAAAGTATTAATCCTTATTGTATGCATTTGAAAACAGATATTTGATATATATTTTTTTCTTTAGTAGTGCCATTATTTTGTTTTTGTTTTGCTTTCTCCACAATAGATGGATACCAAAGACCACGTCATTTCAATTTGACCACCAATCAGCTATTCAAGAACTTGCAACTTTTGGTGACATTGAATCCCTCGTCCCTTGTGGAAGACAATCAGCCATCGTCACATTCAAAGAAATCCGCTCTGCATGCAAAGCAGTGAGTGCTTTCCCGCCTAATGGGCCAAACAGGCATCTCCAGTGCTTTTGGCATCATAAATTCATGTCAGACTACAACATTCTAAAAGACAAAGAAAGCTAAGCTCTAGCCAGAATGAAGGGACCATCTGGATATGTATCCAAGGTATTCATTTAATGACAATTTTTGTAGTAAAGGAAGAGAAACAACTTACAGCAATTTATTTTGCGCGATTGGCTCGAGACTAGAGCTTTGATTTCTTCTGCATGAAGCTCATTACAGCTTGCATGCATTCTTCAGATAGCCATCTTTCCATGAGACATTCACATTCCTGAGAATTAACTTCGTATAGCTTCTCTTTCTCCATGTTTCGTATTAGCTGCTTGGAGACTGCCAAAGTCTGGAGAGGTAAAGAAATAAGTAACATCTGGTTAATATGGACCACAGCAAGCCCATCTGGCTGGTATTGTTAACTGAGGATCAAGGAGAGAATTTACGTAGAGACCTAGAGCCCAAAATCGGGGCCTGCCCTCTGCCCTCTCTCTGCTCAATCATTTTCCCTTCAGCTGACTTCCAAACCCAAAACAATTCCAAGGGAATAATTAGGTGCCTATCTCCCAAATTTCTATGCTATATTGCTTTCTTGGGAAAGAATAGGCCTAGAGCACAAGTTTACTTAAAATTATGTGCGCTATACAACAAGAAACCTGGGTGTTGTTTCATAAACGAAGTGGATTACATAACAGATTTTATCTTTATGTTGTTGAAGAAATTATAATGGAAATTGTCTTTCTGTTTATAGATGGTCAACAGCTGTCCCTCTACATTACAAGTGAAAAGAAGGAAGAAGGCAATTAGGACAAATAAAATCGGTCATTCCATATCTTTCTGCCTCTAATACTCATTTCTCTCAGTATATGTTAAAACCATCCACAGTACAAGCAAACCTTATCAATTTGAATTAGTTTACTGTATTTGTTTAATGTCAAAAACGGTTGGAAAGCCTTTTTTATGAGATCTGTACTGTTTAACATAGTCTTTAACGTAAAGAGTCAGGCAGATTTAACTATGATTTGAATTCAGCAGATTTTTAATTGCAATTCTCTTCATCTCCACATACATGCAGTCTTTCTCTATAAATATGTACTCAGAAATAAAGTCGTAATTGGTTCTCAGAGATTTAAAACCATATAGAGATGTATAGAACTGCAGCATGGATATAATTCATGGTTTGGTTGTTTCCAGGGTAAGATAGATAGGCCATGATTGTGTCTGAAAAAAATGTTAACAGACATAGATGCTTGTCAAATGCATAGTTTCAAGCTGTCACTATTATCTACCTTATAGAGTTCCACAACAGAGAGAACACAAAAGCGCTTCAATCCACAGTGTCCCATTCTGCCTGCCTGCCTGCCTGCCTTCGTTAATGGTTGAATCGGAACAGCTTCGGCTGAGTAAAAGAGGCGAATAGTTATTATTCTCAGCCGAAGCTGCTCCCAAACAACCAGAAACTAAGGCAGGCAGGCAGGCAGAACGGAGCATTGCGGGCGGGCGGGCGGACGGGGTGGGGGAGAAAGGCGACAGGAAAAGCCCCCCCCCCCGCTTCTTTGAAGCAGTTTCTTCCTGTGCTGGTGGAGGAGCGAGAGAGCGACTGAGAGAGCTGACCCAGAGAGAAGGACAGGCTTCGGTTGCTTCCTCCCTCCCCTTCTTTCATTTGTGTCCTTGATCCCCGATCCCAGCAGCATTCACCGAAGGCTTCTTAACATTATATCGGCGTATAACACGCATACATCATTTGCCCCCTATTTTCAGGGGGAAAAAAGTGCGTGTTATACGCCGATAAATACGGTAGCTTAAGTAGAATAATTTCTGACTGGGAAAGGATACAGATTCAGCTATTTATCCACAAATAGGATTTGAAACAAAATCAATGGGTAATATTTTTATTATATTTGTTGTATTTCTTTTCTTTCTAGTTTGTTATTGTCCCTCCAAAACCATTTTTCAATATTCTGTGGGTACCAAGCTAGTTCAGATTCACTGAGATATTTTGGAAGTACCCTTACATTCTTTTGCTTTTTTCTTTTATTTCTAGTTCATTGGTTGTGTTGCAACCTTCTTCCTTATAGTTTCCCTCCCGTGAATTGATTATGGCATTAGGAATGTACAAAACATTTCAATCTTACAACATTTCAAAGGAAACGCATATAGCTCCAAGAACAAAATGTTTGCTTCAAGTGGTGTCATTTCAATATACAATTTGGAGTTCTTACAGGTAGTTCTTGACTTAGAACATAAATACAGCTATAGGTTGTTGCAGTTGTAAGTCGAGGCATCACCTGACTGGATTTGAAGTTACAACTATCTTTTTACAATGGTCATTAAATGGGGGCCACACTTGTTAAGCAAATCTATCCCCCCCAATGGGCACCTTATGCTAGAAAGCAGAAATAAGCCAGAAAGCAGCGAAAAACACAGCAAACTGTGATTGTGGGTCACTGCAAATGGCCATAAAATGAGCCAATTGTCAAGTGCCTAAAATGCAATCGTGACCACGGAGGGTTTGTGTCCATGATAGCTACAAAAACAGATCATAGGTAGCTTTGGAGAGGTTCATTGTAACTCTGAACATTTTTTAAATGACCGGTTGCAAGTTGAGGACTACCTGTAATTTGCCCTTTTGTGATTTTACTCTTCCCAGTTCAGCTAGTACTGCAACAGGGATCTGCCTTGTTCCCGCTGCTTCTGGTTTACCTTGGACGGAATAATATGGGATTGGAATATTAAGAGAAAAAATGTGTGCAGCTCAAAAAAGTTTGCTTGCAGCTCAGTCGTTGCTGGTGTGCCTGGTTAAGTTATAGCTGTTGATATTTTATAAGCTATTTGATCTGAGAAACTGGGGTAGGTTGCAATTAAGAGTAAAATTCGTATATATTTTGAGTCGTGCCTTATTTTGCAAGCAAATAATGCAAAGCTTTGTAGGTGCATGCAGTGCTGTGTCCCAATACTCATAGCACTAGCACTTAAGACTTATATACCGCTTCACAGTGCTTTTACAGCCCTTCTCTAAGCAGTTGACAGAGCCAGCATATTGCCCTCAACAATCTGGGTCTTCATTTTTTTTTTTTTAAAACAAGTTTTATTAATTTTTAAAACACACAAATTATCATTATTCATTACATGTTTAAACCTTTTTCCCTTGTAAATTTAACAAGTCAGATAAATTATGATTCTGTTTTAAACCATTTCCATATAATATACCAAAACCTCTTATTCAATTTCTCTTTACTTCTCTTTACTCTTATTCAATATCATTATTATTATTTCATCTGTTTCTTTCTGACTTAGTTACCATTATTCTCATTCTATATTTCTACAAGTTTTTACCAATTCTCCCCCCAAAAAAGACATATACACACAACACACAAAACATAAAAAAAATATCTTTTTGGAAAGTAACTTGGACCCAGGTATCTCTCTCTTCATGGACTTCAATTATATTCATGCTCATCTTACATATCATTACTTATTTTATTTACCATTCTAAGCCTTCTATATTAACTTCTCCACATATTTCACACTTCTTAATTCTACCTTAATTAATCATCTTAGTTTAAATCATTATATTCTCATCCCTTATGAAAAAAAAGAAAATCAGTTTCTCCTGAAATCATTAATCAGAGTATGATGCCTTTCTATCTCCCCCCTAAGTTAATCAAATTAATCTTTAAAATAATATCTAATACCCAATCAGATTTTGCTTGGTACATTCTATCTAACTAATACATCCAACACAATTAAGTGCATAATTAGAGAATAAATCCAAATATTAAAAAGAAATACTATAATAAAAATTTCATAATAACATCAATACCATAATTTTATTAAACTCTTTAATTAAAACAATATTCTAAACCCCTCCTATTATTAAGTTTTAAAACCAATCATTTTTAAACATTTTAACATTTTAATCTCTTATCAACTCTTAAACCATTGCAATACTACCATCTCATCTTATGTACCTTGCAAAATCTTTTTACTTTATCCATTATCCATAAAAAATTCCTTTTTTCCATTTAATTTCAAAACGTTGTAGCTTTTCTCCACCTTTTCCCTTTCTTTCTTTTCCCAACAAACCTTTCTACCCCCCCTTCTTCTAGCCTCTGCCTTACCGGCTTCCCTTCTCTGTCGTATTTCTTTTCCCCTTTGTTTACAATCATCATATTGGTTTTGCACTTTATTTTTCCCTTTCTTAAATGTTTTTTTAGATCTTAAGTCCTTAAATCCTTTAGTTTTCTTCTTTTCTCTTCTTTTCTTTTCTTTCTCTCTTCTTTTTTTCTGGATCAAATTCTGAGATTCATTAAAGATGGCTCCTTCCTTTCTTTCTTGTTCCTCTGCTGTCTTCATCTGTTGTAATTTTTGTTGATAATTAGTAAGCGCCATTTCTAAGAAAAGGAAAGCTTCTTCCACACCATTTCTTAGTTCCTCAACAGAAAGAGCCATTATAAATCTTTTCTTTTCTCCTTCTTTCTTCTTACAACAACCAGAATATTCAAAAGAAAATAAAAAAGATAAAACAGTCCCAAAGTTATCAATCAGTCCAAACCAAGGCAGAGTTCTCACTTTCTCCTTCTGGGGTGATATCAATCAAAGAGAAAGAAAGTCCAAATCTGTTTAAAGTCTTGTTACAATATATTCTAGTCTTCAAATCCTTAAGGCATCTGCTCCAACAAATCTTAACATACAAATATTTTCTTTTTAATCCTCTCTCTTCCCACTCATCGCTTAAACCCAATTTCCACCTAAAAAAATAGGTTTCTTAATATCCAGTTATTTATTCCGTGGGAAAAGAGGGAAAGCTATCCTTTCAGCACCTTCAAGCAGCCGCTTTTTTCCTCTTCTGGCAGGTATTATTCAGAAAGTCATACTTTTCAGGAATTTTATTAAATATGTCTTAGAGTCCTAGGAGCCAAGAAAAACTTTCTCCTCTCAATCACTTTCTCCACTTCCTCCTGCGCATTCTTACCCGGCTGCCAGCTTCTTTGTGGCGGCCATTACGGACCGCCGCTGCACCGTCCTGGGAAAAGGGGGTTCTGCCGGCCAGGGAGGGGGTCTGCAGCACCCCCAAACCCTTCTCCGGATCCCCCCTACCTTCAGCTGCCCCTGCAGGGCAGCCTAGCTCCGTACCCGGCTGGGTCGGAGCCCCAAAAACGGCTAGCGCGGCAGGGATCGCGCAGCTTCGCAAATCCCTGCCGCTCGCGAAGCCGACAAACCGGAAGTCTCCAATCTGGGTCTTCATTTTACTGACCTCGGTAGAATGGAAGGCTGAGTCAATCTTGAGCCCCGTCACGATCGAACTCCAGGTTGCGGGAAGAATTTGCCTACAATACTGCATTCTAACCACTGCGCCACCAGGGCTTCTATTCATAAGGCTGCATAGACGTAAAAGCTATAAAGTTTTGGTTGATTGCTTTTTAGCTTTGGAATGTAGGTGCACTTTGTGCAAGCTCATATTCTCGCTACTCTTGCTTTTTATTTCTAGAGTGCATTTACAAATAAAATAAAAACAAATGAATCTTATTTTGGTTTGGGATTGTTATTAACCTCTTGTCCTCTCTTGGTGAGGTTCTCTTCTGTTAAAAGGGTTACTCACTTAGATTACATAGGTGGGTATGTTCTTGCCCTATTATTATTTGCTACTATTTTAGAATACATTCTGCTGGTTTCTTGCAAATCATATTTTTAAGTTATGCTTTAATCTTTAATTCAGTTTATTAGATAAGCAATTTAGGAGTGGTGCAGTGGCCTAGAGGGGGGAGCTCTCGCCTCACAGCCAGGAGGCTGTGAGTTTGATCCTCGGTAGAGGTAGGTATTTCTCTCTCTGGGCACGATGAGAATATATCTGCTGAACATACCTCCGCATTGGTGACAGGAAGGGCATCTGGCCAGTAAACAGTCAGTTCCATTCAGTTGCCCAGACTCCACTCTACAAGGAATTGTGGGGTTGTTAAAAGATGATGGTGATTAGATAAGCAATTTTGCTAACACTAACCTTTTTAGGAAGATTAGCATAAGCCTTCAGCCTTGCCCACACTTCTTTTTGGAATGTACTGTCAGGAAAAACCTCAGCCACAAGCCCCTGAGAACAGGCTTCTGCAGCAGTTAGCTTCTTGTTGAAAAGCAGCATTTCAGTGGCCTGATTAAATGAGAAAAGAAACAACGGCTCATTCT